TCCCCTGTCCATGCTCTCTCTCTGTCTCAAAAATAAATAAATGTGAAAAAAAAAAAGAAAAAAAAAGAAAAGTATCTAAAGTATAGAAAGCACACTTTTTATAGTGGTTATCTCCAAGGGGTGAGATGAAGGGTAATTTTTTTTTCCTGTTTGTACTCTCTGCTTTCCAAAATTTCCTAGAGGGGGCATATATTACCTCTATAACTTAAAAAAAAAATGGACAGGGGCGCGCCTGGGTGGCTCGGTCCATTAAGTGTCCAACTCTTGATCTCACCTCAGGTCTTGATCTCAGGGTCAGGGGTTCAAAAAATAAAATAAAATAAAAATGAAAGAGGACGACACAAAGAAACAGTCCTCATTGAGTCTTTAGTCCCACTGTCCTATTTCTCAAATATCCCTTAAACTGAAGTGCTAATGTTTGCTATCCCTAGGCAGAGCTTCTAAGCATATACTGACATTCCACATGAGTAAGAAATTGGTGGCTTGCGGGGCTGGCTCCACTGAGGCAGGGAAATGGGTGTCTTTATGAGCATCTGTGGCCACCAGCCCGACCTTTGTGGACGTGGGCACTGGTGTGATATTGTTTAAAAGGTGCTGGAATGTTCCACCTGGCCCCTCCCAGTTCTCCCCTCACAGCTCAGAGATTATGGATGGCGTTCTACCAACAGAGACTCATTCCTCAGGCTAATGGCTTTTCACCCTATTAAAATGCAAATAACCCGGGAGAAGTACACATTAAACTCTACCTATCACCTGGGTTAAATAACATATCATTTTCTGAGAAGAGGTTTTAATGGGGAAGACATGGGAATTTGGGTGGGGCAGGCAGAGAGAGAAGACAGGGGGAATCAATGCACATGGTGTTTGAGGAGTAATGAATATTCATAATAGTAATATTTTCGTTTATGGCTTATGAGTCATCTACAAATACATTACTGCATTTAATCTCAATGACATCGAAGAGAATGGCAGTCACCAAGGCGAGAGACACACGGAAGCATCCGCTCACATACTTGAAAACGTGAGCAAAGATCTTTTTCCGAACCTATGGAAAATGAAACGGAAAGGAAAGGAAAGGACCAGAACGTGGCAATAAAAGAAGGCAACAGAAGATGAAGGGAGGTCACACGGAATTACTTCCTGTCTATAAAATACATAAATTAAGTAAATGACAGTCCAGTATGGTGATTCACCAGACTCTGGAGCCCACTGGCTTTTGAATCCTGGCTCTGTCAGTCTCTGTGGGACTGTGTGCCTCACCTTCCCCATCTTTAAAATGGGTGGAATCATGGCATCTACCGTATGGGGTGGCACGAGGATTAAATTAGTTCATATTCGTAACATTGCCAGGCAGAAAGTCATTGCCTTAAAGTGATGATTAAGCCCTTATACATCCTCATGGATGAACAAGAAATATGTCAAAGTGTTAACAGATTTTAACTCCATGTGGTAGAAATACGGGTTTTGAAAGAGAAAAAAAAAAAAAACCCTCAAAACACACATTTTTGGAATCCAAGAAAGAGTGGGAGAAATTAATAACATGAATCAGAGGAAAACGGGGGGTTGGCAACGTAATATGTAAAGTTATATTAATAGGATGTTCCAGTATTAAACCCTCAGTTAACTAAGGCTGTTCCCCTTAGTATGTTGTAAAACGTACAATATTTATCAACAATACATATGAATAGTATGATTAACGATACACACACAATTGATACAAAATAGGAAAACTAAAATGAGAAGAGTGAATAGCGGTCAAGGATAAATGAGCAATAAGACTGGTTAGGGAAAGGAAACATGATAGGCAGCGCTTCTGACTTTGAGGCAGGGAGTATTTAATGAATTATGTAGAGCTAAAGAATTAGAGATTCCTAGGAACACATATTGAATTATCCCATCATAATTATATAGCATCGTAATTACCAGCTTATGAAGCGAATTGCTATACGCAGAACTAAAGACTCAAAAATATTACCAAAGTTAGCACTTGAGCACACATTGCAGGAAACAATTATGCGTTAGCTGAAGCCTGGGCAAAATGATCTAATCGGTCCTCCTCTCCTAACCCTCTGAATTTTCCCACCGAGGTGTATTTCAGGATGATTTATGCCTCCGGTGCGCTTGGCAGAGACGATGGTAATTCAGCTCTTCATTCTTTGCTACCAAGATGCAAGGAAGACATTACACGATGAAAGGTGACAGCGACTTACTGGAAAGGAAGTGCTGGGACGCGGGGCCAAAGTCCCGGTGGGCTTCGTGCAGCTGCCTGATGCGGTCCTCAACGGCCACCTGGGGGGAAGAGGAGAGAAATGATGTCCTCTCATCAGATATAATGAGGAGCAATGAAAACGATGTGTCCTCTTTGGTCGGATCTTTTGAGCCTCGAAAGCTGGGCGACTAAAGCAGCAATGCATAACCCCATTTTTAAAATCGATTTTTAAACGTTTGTTTATTTTGAGAGAGTGCGCGCCCGTGTGCACGAGGCGGGGAGGGGCAGAGAGAGGGAGAGAGAGAATCCCAAGCAGCCTCCACGCAGTCAGAGCGGGGCTTGATCTCACAACCGTGAGATCATGACCTGAGCCGAAATCAGGAGTGGGACGCTGAACCGACGGAGCCGCCCAGGCGCCCCCCAGAGCCCCGGTTTTACCGTACGGCCTCCGAGAGCCCTTTTCATCAAACCAGGGCCAAACAAAAAAAAGATGTGCTTTCTTGGTAATGTGAAAATGAGATTTTTTTCACACTCTGCTCCAACGAGCATCAAAAATGCCACCTCTAAATCTTTCGTGCAAAGGTTAGGGAGGTTGTCATTCTCCCGTATACTAGATAAGTGAAGGATCCCAGGAATGGCATTTATTTTGTCTTAGTCTATTGTTTTTGACTAACGTTTTTGGGAATCCTATTGGTAGTTAATGGATCATTGAGAATTAACGAGTAACCAACAGCTGATTAACACTTCAGCATCAAAGAAGTAGAGGCAAGGCTTAAATATAGCGTAATTACAGAGGAGATAATGAGATCAAAGGCATTTTCAGATTTCAGTTTTTAGTAGACTTGAAAATTACTGCGAGGTAGATCTTCAGGTGGCATGAGACAAAAATTTCCATTCTTTTGTTTTTTTTTTTTTTCCTATCAGGTTTTTCTAGAATATACTGATGGTGTCCTGATGGCTTAGTGAATTCCATTCTGGGGAAATGCTTTGCTTTTGTCATCTGGCATTCTGCAGACCAGGCACCAGGGGTGGCCCCAGGCATGCGAGCTTCACAAATCTGGATCTTAATTTGGTTCTGAACAGCCCGTGGTCGACAAGGGGTTGGTCAGCTCCTGCCCAGAGCCAGCAAAGCTCCAGTTGGTTCACTCCTATGGTGTAGCTAATGCCCAAGGGATAAAAGAGATATTAGACAAGATCAGAAAAGTGGCTAAGGGAGTCTGGTCTAAAGCCGGCCAATCTCGCAATATCAGTCAAGGGCCTAACATAGATTCAGAACAACCTTCTGTTTTCACTTTCTCCTAGCCTTGCACATCTTTGCTTGGAACAAATATTTGGAAAAGCATGTGGAGGTTCCCAAACGCGCAGGATGTGCTTCACTGTGACGCACGCAAAAGCATGAGGCGCATCTCAAACCTCCCTTCCCGGCCCTACGGCCCCGCACCGTCCGCCACGCTCAGCTGTCCTGTCCTGCAATGTTCCATCCAATTTAACACCCGTGTGACTTGTTTTGGTTGCTGCTCCTCTCTGCAACGTTCTTCTCCCCCTTCGCTCCCAGTTCCAGTCTTTTCTATGTTTCTATGTCTACTTTCCAATCCCCCGGGTTGGAAGGAATCACTTCCTCGGCATCCTCGAGGCTCACAGTCTCTCCTTGGAGCATTTCTGTCATACTGTCTGTTGTAGTTGCAGGGACAGGACTTATCTCCTGCGATGCCACGTGAAATCCCCGATAGCTGGGACCATCCCTTGCTTGTCCCGCCTCCCCTCCCCACCCTCCCGCAGGGCGCACTGAACCCTGCACACGGTAAGTGGGTCACAAGTGCTTAATGACTAGTTGACCAAACCAATGTGTACGTGTGACAGAGAGACACCCAGAAAGACAGATATGGGAGAAGAAACAGGAACGTGAACTAACACTGCCTGTAAGCTGCACGTCCCTGGGTATGTTATTCCACCATTAACTTTCCTTGTGGGTAAAATGGGACAACATGACCCACCTCACAGAACTTTTCGTGGGAAGTAGCTAAGACACGGGCAACGGTGGGCCTCGTTTCTTCCACATGGTGATTGATCAATAAATGTTAACAGCTATTGTTATCGTTGCTGTTATGATTCGTACATGGAAAGGATAGGTTATTGTGGGCAAGGCAATACATACATCACAAAAATGGCTGATATTTATTAAGCATTCTGTTCATGACAAGAGGAATTAACTTACTTAATTTTCACAGTAACTCGGTGGAAGTAATATTATCTGGGGGCGCCTGGGGAGCTCGGTCAGTTAGGTGTCCAACTCTCGACTTTGGCTCAGGTCACGATCTCGTGGTTCGTGGATTCGAGCCCTGCGTCAGGCTCTGGGCTGACAGTGCAGAGCCTACTTGGGATTCTCTGCCTCCCTCTTTCTCTGCCCGTCCTCTGCGCTCCCTCTCTCCCTCTCTCTCTCGCTCAAAAATAAACATTAAAAAAAGAAGTAATATATCTTCCTACTTGAATGATGTAGAAGCTGAAGCACGAGAGGTTAAAAAACAACAACAACACAACTTGCCTACGTTTAAATAGTTAGTAGATTGGCAGAGCCAAGATTCAAACTCATTCAGTCTGACTCTTGGTCTTTAACTGCTATTTTAGAGATCAAAGTCAAACGAAAAGTATTTTAGAGATATTCAATATGCAGCTGGCCTTTCAATTTACCGACTGCAGAAGAGATCTAGTGTCCATATCTATGAAAGTTTAGTCACTGGTATCTTTTATGACCCAAAGCAAGGTCAGTTCCCGGTCATGAAGAATGTGATGGCATAAGATTACGGAGAACACGCGCAAAGGCATGTTTAGAAGGACATCATTATTTCTAAATGCAGAATGGGTCATCTCATGAACAAAGTAACCAAGAGATGGCTGTGAAAGTTCGGGGGTGGGGAAGAGTGGATGAGGAGGCCACATGGGAGTGGACAGTGACCAGCGATCTTTTCATGTCCCGAGAAAGAAATCCCATGGGGGACATGTGGTAAAGGAGCATGACCGTGTCACAGACCCTGTCCCCTGGTGGTAATGTTAGCAGATTCATAGCGACCAGGGGGAGGCAGCATCTGAGTCCATTAGAGGCCCCTCATCTCGAAGGTTGCTTTCTTCCTCTGTAAGGTGAACTCCACAGGTAATTTCCAGGGTATACCCGATATTGTCAAGAAATGAAAAGGAGACAGAAGTGAATTCCCTTCCCTATAACTCAAAGTTAGGAAAATGCATGAGAGAGACTGAAATTAAAAATGCGTCACGTAATGAAATGAACACTCTAGGAAACAGTCTTAAAATAACTAAAGAATTAAGCGTAAAATATTTCTTTTCACAAATTATCCTTGGAGAAAGGTATTGCATGGATTGAATGCACAATTGAATAAACAAAGACATCATTTTAAGACAGAGAAAAAACTTGAAGGCACACTGTAGCTACCTAAGAACAAAGGCACTTTATTCTGTGAGCAATTAGGCAAGGAAATGAAAGTTGATAAACTTTTGAAACAATAACCTCCATGCATTAGACCTTTCTAACTGGCCGTGTTTTTAAGCTATATCAAGTACTATATACAGGCTAGGAAGCAAACACCACAAATTATACACTACAATCCTGCGTTCTGGCCCAATTCATTTTTTTAAATGTTTATTTATCGGGGCGCCTGGGTGGCGCAGTCGGTTAAGCATCCGACTTCAGCCAGGTCACGATCTCGTGGTCCGGGAGTTCGGGCCTCGCGTCGGGCTCTGGGCTGATGGCTCAGAGCCTGGAGCCTGTTTCCAATTCTGTGTCTCCCTCTCTCTCTTCCCCTCCCCCATTCATGCTCTGTCTCTCTCTGTCCCCAAAATAAATAAAAACGTTAAATGTTTATTTATTGATTTTGAGAGAGAGAGAGAGACAGAGACAGAAAGAGTGAGCAGGGAAGGGACAGAGAGAGAGGGAGACAGAGAGATTCCCAAGGAGGCTCCACGCTGCCAGCGCAGAGCCCGACGTGGGGCTTGAACCCGTGATTCATGAGATCACGATCTGAGCAGAAACCAAGAGTCGGACACTTACTTATCTGAATGAGCCACCCTGGCAACACACAATTCATTCTTTACTCGGTGAATTCCCTGATCATGTGACAAGTATTTGCTAATACTGAAAGAGACACACAAGGAGAAAATGCTGTAGTCTCTGATCTTTGGAAGCATAAAGGCTTGGAGGTGAGGAGGAGGGATTAGCCGAGGAAAGGCCTGGGGCAGAACACAGCTGTTGGAGAGGGCGGTAAGGTACAGTGAGCTACCTATCCTGGAAGCAGAGACGCAAACCAAGGCTCTCCAGACTCTGCGGCTCAGGATTTTCCCGGCAAGGCCAAGGGAACCAGGGAAGATTTCTGTGCACTGACTCATGATTTGAGAAAGCAGCTCAGGTTTGGGCAGGTTGCGATCACCTAGGTGTGGGGTGACATGCGTTGGAATGAAGACCGTGTGGCCCTGAATGGGAGGGAAGGCAGATAAGGAGGTATTCGGAAAGAAGGAGGAACTGGTTAATTTTTGGTGTTGGAGCTTAATTTCTGAAGAGGCAAACAGCCTTCCAGGGTGGAAGGCTAGGAGAGTGAGGATATTGCCGATGGGACTATGGCAATTCCAAAGGGATTCCTACCGCATACGGCGGTAGGAATTCCTCTGGAACAGGATGCAATGGACCTAACGGTGAGAGTTTTCCTGGAGAGGTCGCGTAGAGCCAGGTGAAGAAGAACGATTTGTCTCCGTCACTAAAGGAAGGAATGGCAAGTGAGAATACAAGGGGTAGGGGTGACATTAGAAGGTGAGCAAGGCAGGAAGAGCCAGAGGAATTTAATTAGAATTATTTAAGGAGATAGAAAGAACCCAATTTCTTCTGAATTAATAGGCAATACCTCTGTTTCCTTTTATGAAAAGAAACACAAGCGTAACGTCTTCCGGGAAGATCCTGTATCTACTATTAGATCATAGATCAGGAAAGCTTAGAACTGGAAGAATCCTTACCTATTGATACACAAGAGTCTATTCATTAGAAGTATCCCAGATGGGCAAAAAACTGCCATCTGCTCCT